TGCACACTTTCCCCTGGCTGGGGAGCTGCATCACAAAATTCAGAGAAATGTGAATTTTGAAGGGTGGTTGTGTTTCGGTTCTCATATGGTTTCAGAAGGTGTGGCTTTGACAGGTTCGGCTTTAAATGTGAACCGACTTTGTTTTTTTCTCCCATCCCTACATCTGGAATAAATGCATGATATCAAATGAATTCGTATACCCACCTTCCACAAAGAACATCACCTGAGAATAGTGTCTTGCTTTGCTCTACGGAAGGGGAACAGGAAAAGGCATGGGTGTGATAGGGTTGCCATATTTCAAACTGCTGCCGACTGCAGTATTCCAGATGTGTCCAGGAAATTCCAAACGTATGGCAGCCCTAGGATGTGAGGGGAGGGATCCCAACACCTGAGAATAAGAGGAGCACTGTTATTGCTTAATGACATAAATGGAAGGGAATTTCAGGAGAAGGGAGGCTTGGCTTATGGATTTCGAAGGATTAAAAGGCAATTGACAGTCGGTAAAATTATACGCAGAACCAGACAATTTTTCAGCCTCTTGCAAGGAAGTGGCAAGTATATGGGGTAGTTCAAGCTATGCTCCTTTGCCCCTAAATGCAGAAATGAATCATGGGATTGGCACAACTCCTACATGCATTGTAGTTTCCAGGTATACCAGTACTATCACAAGTACTATTACCATTATTATTAATTAGACTTGCTATTCATTTGTTACCTGACAGTTTCCCAGTGATTTACAACACAGTAACAATATAAAACATTGTATTGTAAAAACAGAACAAAACTCCCATAACAACCACAGCAAGATTGGAAGCACGCTAATAAGAAAACATCATTTCAGTCTATCAAAAGCCTTGGTAAAACAGTAAAACTTTAGCTGGCAGTGTCAATGAGGGTGCCTGCCCTGGACAACTGGCCTACCTGGCAGCAAATCAGTAGGCCAAGTCTAAGGGTCAATCCACACAAGCAAAGTCCAAAGGTCAGAAAATGAGGTTCAAGGTCAATTCAAGTAGTCAAGTCCAGCAGTCAGGATGCAGTCCAGAGTCAACCCTGAAGCACAGTCCCGTGGAGGTCCAGGAGCATCTAAGTCAAGGTAGGCAGTTGAGCAGACATAGCACTGTTTCCCTTTTGTACTTTGCCTACTGATTGCAGCATCTGGGCTTGATGAGGCAGGTGACCCACACCTGTTCCAAGCCAGCTCCATCTGAGGAATCACACCCCTCCTCCCAGAGGTTGCAAGCTCTACCTCAGGGGTCAGCAACCTTTTCCAGCCGTGGGCCAGTCCACCGTCCCTCAGACAATGTGATGGGCCGGACTATTTTTTTTTTTTGGGGGGGGGAATAATGAACGAATTCCTATGCACCAGAGATGCATTTTAAATAAAAGGACACATTCTACTCATGTAAAAACAGGCTGATTCCCGGACCGTCCGTGGGCCAGATTTAGAAGGTGATTAGGCCACATCTAGCCCCCGGGCCTTAAGTTGCCTACCCCTGCTCTACCTGGCCAGCTAGGGAGCTGGGTTGTGGGCCCTTGCCTGTCTCAGCCTCCTAGAGTGCCCCACATGGGGCACCAACCTCTCCTTCCCCAGCCACTGCTTGCCCCAGTGTATCTCAGTTCTGGCTACATCCCTTGCTGGGATCCTCCTCCTCCTCCCCCTGTTGTCCTGCCAGTTCATGACTGTGCCAAGCGAACCTTACCGGGGAGAGCCTTTGACAGGTGGGGAGCCACAACTGAAAAGGCCCTCTCGCTTGTCACCATCCTCTGAGCCCTCCTTCAGAAAAGGAACATAGAGAAGTCTTCAGAGGAAGGCTTAAGGGTCTAGATAGGTTCATAAAGGTCCAAACCAGCACTTTGCTGGTTGCTCAGAAAACAAACCTCTACCTGACTGGAGAAATGAGCATTTGCTCCCATTTTACAGGAGGAGCATTTTACAAGTGGGGCAGGCCCTATCACACAACGAAGTGACCTGTTGCAGAGAGCACCATGAAAGTGGGTGGGAAGAAGAGACAGATGAAGGCAGGACTTGGCATCAGAATGATGCAGCAAGACTGTATTACTATTTTTTATATGTACTTTCCCAGAGTGGCTGGGGAAACCCAGCCAGATGGGTGGGGTATAAATAAATAAAAAATATTATTACTAATTATTATGATGGTGCATGCTTCACACTGTAAGCAAGATGTTATTGGTAAGCACTGGAATAAAGGCTGAAAAACTCACAAGGTGCCCAGTGTCATCTGTGATTCCAGGAATTTGAAACCAGCTCCAGGAATCTATGCATCAGCCCTTGACTTTCAATCCTCTAGTAAATGGTTTGGCTTCCCTTGGGGATGGGGTTGGGGGCTCTTTTACTGATGTCATTCCCATGAATTCTCTCTTCCCTTAAGAAGATGCCCCAGTTCAAGCTGATCAATTGTTGCAATACCTTCTCTCCCTCACCCTCCCCTCAGCAATGCCACACTTTCTTTGTGGTGTTCCTCAACTCAGAGATCCTTAGATGTTGTCTTGCTCACTTGTGGGTTTCCTGTGAGCCTCAGACAAAAAGCTTTACTCCAAAGATAAGTAGCAAGGCTCTGCTTCTAAGGTTTTGCATGCTAAAGGTATCTTCCAGCCTATCAATATTTTTGTGTGGGATTCAGTCACTTCCCCAGCACATTCTGGTTGCGCCATTAAAGTGGGTTTGGAGCTCTTCTGAAACAAATACACTTTCAGGTACAGAAAGCATTAGGAAAAGGTACTGGAAGGTGTAACAGTTGTTGGGCAAGATGTTGTCTAATCTCTCCATGAACAAACCAGGCTGAATGTTCATTGAACAGGTTGTCTGGAAGCAACCTAACGGTGCAACAAAGTTCAGTGGGAATTACTCCGAGTTAAGTGTGTGTGGCATTTGTTGCCCATAACACATTTCACAAAAGTAGAGGGGATTCAAGGGGGAGAAAGGAAGCTTGCATGCCCTGTAATGCAGATGAGGCTGTGCACGTCCCTCTTTGGACCTGCAATAACCCAAGACTTTATTCCCAGCCATGGAATAAGAAGTTGAAGGTGTGAAAGTGGGATTGCCTGGCATTCGGATCTCCCCCACCCACCTCTCTCCCGCTTTTAGATTACTTTCTCCCCATCCCCTCACCCTCTTTCCACAACAGCTCCCTGATCCTATAATCTTGATGCAAGATTTATGCAAGCAAATCAGGATGAATTCTTAATAAACAGGTTGTCTGGAGGAGTCAAAGAGGGAGCCTGGTAGATCTCCACTGAGAGGGCATTCCATATTTAGGAACTACCACCAAACAGGACCTGTCTCTCTTAACTCACCTAACCACACAGAGATAGAGCAGATGGCCTCCAGTGCTGACCTGAAGAGTCAGGCAAATCCACACAGGAGTAGACAGATGAATTAAAATTTCTCCCACACTCCTCCTGATGATCTTGGCTGCTCCATTCAAAGTGAACATAACAATATGGCTGCGGCGACAGCCTTTGGAAGTCTTGGATCTCCAACAAATATCCAGAGACCAACCCTGGAGTCTGCTGTGTGTCTCAGGGTAAATTCTACCTGCCACCAAAATGTGACTACTTCATTTTGTGTCCACAAGCAGCAATCCCGTGCCTATCAAACCCAAATTGAGGATTAACCTAAGACTTAGTTTGCCCCTGGCAAAGTTTAACCAAAGCTCCATAAGTACATTGGATTCTTTAACAAGTTGACTTGTGATACAATTACGCACATTGGAAGTGTAAAGATGTGGAACAGCACGGTGCTTGCTGTGAGTGAGATGCCCAGGGAAGGTGGGCAGCTTTTTCTGTTTGTTTTAAGGGGAGCGGAGCTGGTCTTTTGCATTTTATTATCAGGGCAGGGTCCAAACCAACCCCTGGAAGCTGTTTTCTGCCCAGGTGCTGAACTGAAGCATAGGATGCAAATGTGAAGAAGAAGAAAAAGAAAAGAGTGCCTCCAAGTATGCAAGAATGTCTTTGGACCAGTGAATCATCAGGGGCAGCTGTGTCTCATCTGAGTGTCTGTGTCATACAGGGTAGCTTCCAACCTATCTTGAACCTGGCACCTCTCTTCTTAGAAACTAAGCACCTCAGAGAATATTCTCTTCTTCCTCCTCCTCCTTGTGGTATAGTGGCTTTGACTTTCCTCTCAGCATATAGCAAGAGCCGAAGAATTAAGGACACTTCCTGTTGCTTCAGCTGAATCATTCATAACGTGCCCAAAAGGAGATCAGAGTGGATTCCCTTTCATTCTCACAACCGGTTCTTGGCTTCAGAGATAAAGAAGCAGCAATCCAAACCCAGGTAGGCAATCTTTGGTCCTCCTGCCAGCTCCCTGGAGTCAAAGGGCTTTTCCATTCTGGTACCTACCTCACTCTTTCGGTGGGTCATTTTGCAACATTCCTTTGCTCTGCCTTTATATCCAGGTATCCCATTAGAAATAGCCATATTTTATATTCTTAGTAATAGGAAGTTTGGATTTCCGAATGACCTCTTCACAAGCCCAGGGGCTCTAACAGCTGTGGTACAAGGGTACTTTGGCAAGGTATCATTTGGCAAAGGTATCATAGGCGCCCCTTGCCATTTGTTTCGGCGGAATTTGAAGAGTTGTGGGGGCATTGTAGGTGGCAATTTATTGCAGACCTGGTGCTGTGCATACTTGCATGTTGTGCGCAGTGATCACACAATGATATCCTCTTCAAAATTCGGCCCTGCATTATTTTCCCATTTGACCCCGGTTGACGATTTCCATGGAAAATCCTAAAACTTTGCCACAAAAACCTTGTATGCATGAGCAATTAGGGATGAGGGAGAAGGTCACATCATTTTGCATTTAAAAGTGAACCTGCCTAATGTGTGCTTTCAGAAACAGTACGCAACCCATAACACAGCAGTGCTTCAAAACCCGCACTTCTGCAAATTTTGCAATGCAGTTCTCCTGCCAAGTGTACAGAAATGTATACACTAGCAAAAATAAAATTATAAAATGCATTGTATTAGGAGGGAAAGCCTTGTGAAAATGTGTATATTAGTCAAAATTGCATATGGAAATAAGTTTATTAGGAGAAATTTGTGCAAAAATCCTGGTGAAACTTCATGAATGTTTTTTGTGTTGTTGTTTTTAATGCAAATTGTTGTGAAAATGTGGAGAACTGCATTTAAGATCGGAAAAATGAGAAACTCAGAGAATCAGAACTGATATCTTTGTCCACCAGTATCCTATGACCAATATCCAGTCTACAGTAAACTGCCGTATGGAAGCACCTCAGATGTTATGGTGTGTCCTCCTCAAGAGTTGCTGAGACTTTTTTGTTGTCCCCAAATACATAGGTGTCTTCTCCAAACAGTAGTGCCATGGGTAACTGAAATTGTTCAAATACCCCAATCGCAAAACTGTGAAAAGAAAGGAAAAATAAACAATTTTTAAAAGAGAAAAACTGCATGTAACAATAGAAAAATGTGGAATTGCAAACCAGGAGCAAGGTGGGAGGGGAGGTAAAGGAGATGGAAACTGGACAATGGAAATAAAATGGGTGGGATTGTTCATTTGTTTTAATTGCTCAGAAATAGATGGTCAACTATTTCCCTGTGGCTTTATTAACAGCTTGATCTGCAGACAATATTTTTAAAATAATAGGCTGTAAGCAACCAATTTCTACTCAGAGTAGACCTTTTAAAATTATTGGACCGAAGTTAGTCATATCCATTAATTTCAGTGGGTTTACTCTGAGTAGGATCCACTTTGGACACAACTCTCTTTTGTTTTGTAAATAGATACCAATCCATGGCAGCTAAGAATACACATATTAAAGCAAGCATGGCAATAAAAAATAAGTAAATAAGAAACAAAGGGTGCTTCCAAAGGGCAATTTATGGTGGACCAAGAGCTGAGCTAGATGGACCAATGTCCTGACTCTGTATAAGGCATATTCCTGGGTTCCTAGAACAAAGCTGGATGAGTTAAAAAGACACTCAAAACTTTTTAAAAAGTGGTAACAATCACCTGTGAAGACATGTTGGGAAATGATGGTACCTCGCGCTAGGGCAATGGTGTAGTACTGGGGAAATTTCTTGCTGTTGGGAGAGGGACACATTGTCACAAGAGAAAGCTCTGAACATCAAACAAAGCCATATGAATAGAACAGAATGCACAACTTTTGCACAGAATGGAATGCAGCAAATCAGGCAAAAAATGGCCAGTATTGCAGACATAGCCCTTTCCATTCCACACTCTCTGAAGGCATAACATACACTTCAAGGCTGCGTATATACACCATACATTTAAATTGCACCCCTGTCTTTAACAATCCTGGGCGCTGCATCTTACTCCCCACTGTGCCACAATTCTCAGAACCCTTAACAAACTAGTTTCCAGGATTCTTGGGGTTGGGGTTGCTTTAATTTTTTTAATCAGTAACTGTTGGGGTGAGTGGCAATTTGTGCAAAAGGCTTCATCTTGCAAAATATTATTTGTCACAATAAGCCCTCAGCAAAGGCAGGTGAAAATCACAGTTTTTATAGAATGAGAGAAACGAAGGAGCAAGCATCTGGGAGTAAGCCCCACTGAACTAAGTGGGACTTACTTCTGAGTAGAAAGGTATAAGAGTGTAGTATGAGGCAGGGGCTTATCTAGAGCCCCCAATGGAACAGCAGAAGCAGAATTTGAACCCAGCAACGCCATTATCAACTGGTGCTGATAGGAACTGGAGTCCAGCAACATTTGGAGGGGTGCAAGTCACCCACCCCTGACCTAAAAGCATTCCCAGTACTCTTCCCCCACCCCCACCCCCCAATTTCCCTAACAGAAATTGTTCCCTACACCCTCAAAGTTGCTATTAGTTCCTGGTGTGAGAAGAACACAGGTAGCCAGAGAAATAAAGCAAACTAAACACAGATATATAATGCAGAAAATATACTTTTCTTAATGCTTTAATTGTTGGTGGGAATGCAGTATGGAATTTATCTACTGACATGATAAGAGATATAAAAGAGTGTAAGTTCCCTCTTACCTTTACAGTGTATCGTTAGACTTTTTGAGGAATGTAGTATCTCTAGTATTTCCTTTGGGATTAGTTTTGAATATATTGACATGTTAAAATTGAAACAGCGCTTACAAATATGAGACAACAAACTTTGTGAGATGTGGCTACCTGTATCTTTTCCCAGCAGAGAGAGAAGCAGTTGGGGAGGAGTTTTAGTGGAAAATCCCCAGAGAGGAAAGATCAGGAAGCAGTAGGCCCACCCCAAAGCATTTGCAGGGACAAACAGGGTTGAAAGGATCACGTATTACCACCCCGATACCATCATAAGCACAAATTGTCATGAATGCACAATAAAAAGGACATCTGATGTGTGAGCTATCTTGTTCTGCAAATATTGTGGAGGTTCTAGGAATCTATAATGATCACACGAGTAATGATATTTCTGAAACTAGGAAGAAAATCTACCTCAACTACTGATATAAAATAATTCATTTGCTATACCATAAACATAATAGATAGGAAAAATCTTTCCCCCATCTCTGCTCCCTGTTACAATCAGTCTTAAACCACCTTCCAAGAAAACGGGGATGGAATTCACTCAGGAGTCACTGTTCACACTGCAGAATTTACACAGAAGTAGACCTACAACATAGTTCTCTTAATTTACTGTTTCCTGCACCATTTTCCTTAATATCCCCAAACTGCAGCCACTTACCACTTAGATTTTTTATTCGGTAAATGAAAAATACAGTGGGGAGGGGATAAATCTATTGATTTTTGCAGTTGGAATGTTTTCTTGTCCCAGCCAGTTTTAGCCTCTTTAGGTGGAAAAATGCCCCATGTGTTTTTTCAAACAAATACCAACCCAGGGAAGCAGGCAAGTGTCCTTTTACTGACACGGCAACAATGCACGTTGCTTTGTTTGGGGTCATCTTGCCACCCCAAGACATTTGAAGTGGTATGGAGTAGAGCTTTTCCGGGTTGTATGGGGCCTTTTACAGGCTGGCCCAAAGGAGGTGGTAGAACCAATGACAGCTCACTGTGACTTGTTTTGAGGAAAAAATCGCTTGCATCCACCAAGACACTGACTCTGCTGTTATAGCAGATGAATCTCATGGGGTGTCCAGAGCACAGTCTAGTCCTGTTGTGTTGGATGAGTTTCGGTTTGTAAGGCTCGAGGATGTGGACAAGGTGCTCGGATTGGTCAGGGCGACCACTTGCACTCTAGACCCTTGCCCCTCTTGGCTGATAAAAACCAGCAGGGAGGGAACAGCTGGCTGGGCCAGGGAGGTGATCAATGCCTCTTTATGGGAGGGGGTTGTCCCCGTCTGTTTGAAGGAGGCAGTGGTAAAACCACTCCTTAAGAAACCTTCCCTGCATTCAGAAAACCTAACTAACTACCGGCCAGTTGCTAATCTCCCTTTCCTAAGCAAGGTTCTAGAGTGAATGGTCACAGACCAGGTCCAGGCCCTTTTGGAAGGAACTGATTTTCTGGATCCATTTCAATCAGGATTTAGGCCTGGTTTTGGGGGGGGAATGCTTTGGTCACCCTGTATGATGACCTCTGTCGAGAGTGAGACAAGGGAAACATGTCCCTGTTAATTCTCCCTGACCTCTCAGCAGTACCACTGACCATGGTATCCTTTGGGAGCGGCTGTCCGAACTAAGGGTGGCTGGCATCACTTTGCGGTGGTTCCATTCCTACTTGGATGGCTGTTTCCAGACGATGTTGCTTGGGGAATGCTTTTCAACCCCGTGGAACTTTCAATGTGGGGTTCCACAGGACTCAATCCTATTCCCTATGTTGTTTAACATCTACATGAAACTGCTGGGTGGGGTTATCCAGAGGTTTGGAGTACATTGTCAGCAGTATGTTGATGACAGTCAGCTCTATTTCTCCTTTACATCTGCAGTTGAGGCAGTGGAAGTGCTGGACCAGTGTCTAGCCTTGGTAATGGACTGGATGAGAGACAACAAACTGAAACCCAATCCAGAAAAGACTGAGACACTGTCAGTGGCTGGTTCTCTAGACTGGATGGATGGGAGATCGCCTGCTCTTGATGGGGTTACATATCCTCTGAAGGAGGAGGTTCGTAGCTTGGGAGTACTCCTGGATCCTTTGCTGTCGCTTGTGGTTCAGGTGGCCTCTGTGGCCCGGAGTGCCTTCCATCAGCTTTGGTTGGTAGCCCAAATACGCCCCTATCTGGACAGGGATAGCCTAACTACTGTCATCTATGCTCTAGTAACCTCAAGGTTAGATTACAGCAATGTGTTATACGTAGGGCTGTCTCTGAAGATGATTTGGAAACTTCAGCTAGTGAAGAATTCAGTGGCCAGGTTGCTCACTGGAGCAAGACGGTTTGAGCATATTACCCCAATCCTAGTCCAACTGCACTGGCTACCAGTTAGTTTCCGGGCCCAATTCAAAGTGCTGGTTTTGACCTATAAAGTCTTAAATGGCTCAGGACCGCAATATCTCAAGGGCTGCCTCTTTCCATATGAACCTACCCAGACCGTGAGATCATCTTCTGAGACCCTCCTTCGTGTGCCTCCAGCTCGAGAGGTCTGGAGGGTGGCAACAGGCCTTCTCTGCAGTGGCTCCCTGTCTGTGGAATGCTCTCCCCAGGGAAGTTTGCCTGGTGCCATCATTATACACCTTTAGGAGCCAGGCAAAAATGTTCCTTTTAAACCAGGCCTTTGGTTGATTTGATTGACATCCTATGCCCTTTTAAAATGTGGGGGTTTGGGGGGGAGTTTATTGGGTTGTTGTTTTTATTTTGATTGTGTATTTTGTGATTTTATATTTTGATTTTATTCTGTGAACCACCCTGAGACCTCCAGGTATAGGACAGTTTCTCTCCATTTCCCATTTTTGCAATCTTAAATTCATTTCTCCACATTTCCGCAATTTGCAAAAATTGGGTTTTTTTTAAGAAGAAAAAAAATCAGGAACATCTATCAGCATTTTATTGTTGATTTCTCTTTTTAAAAACCACATTTTTGTATGCAGTCTTGACTAATACACACATTCTGGCAAGCAATTTCCCCTAATATAATGCAGCTTTGTATGTTATTTCCACACATATATGCATTTTTATGTACAATTTTCCCCAGTTATATGCATTGTTGCACACATTGATTGGTTGGAGAACTGCATCACAAGATTTGGAAAACAAAGAATTTCATTGGATAGCGGTTCTTTGGTTTGTGTACTTGTTTGAGAATGCAAATTAGGTAGTTTCTCATTAAAATGCAAACAAAGTAACATTTCTGCCCCATCCCTAATAGTATGCAAAACTAGTCAAGTTAATTTGGCACCTCAGACAGGAAATCTCACAAAATAATAATTGTAATAATAGTCCATCAAACAGATAACAATTTGTTGCCCCTTTATAGCACCCACAAATCAGTTGCCTAAGAGGGCTGCCTCACTCTGTTTAACAGTAGGCCTAAAATGACTGAGACCATGTATGTGAGATGATTTTGAATGTTTGAAGTCTGCTAAACAGTATTATTTTTATTCTAGGAACACTTGAGGCACTGTCCTGGTGAGTAGTTACTTTCTCTGTTAAGCTTTTCCTCAACACTTCGCTCAACACTGCCCAGAAGCATGCAAGCTACTGTCACACTTTCCTCCACCTCGTACCCCCACCCCTCTGCCCCAATCTTTTACTGGAAATGTTACATATTTATTTAGTCCTCATCATGCTTTCTGTTGAATGCAAACCTTGCTGCTGCTGCTTAGCCATTTTCAACGAAAGTGCTGGAGGGTTGGCTGACTCCTGAGTAGTAAAAAAGAAACTACCTCAGACCTCTTAGCTGACACCACAGATGGGGAGTGGGAAATGGTGAGGATTCTTTTTTGTTGTATAACATTTTAGGCATGAAAACACTTGACGGCTTCAGAGTTTGTAGATGTTCTTTGCTGTGGGGTTCTCTAGCAATTCCCACATCAAAAGAGCAATTCCTTCGAGGGCAGTTATACTGTTTTGGATCTTTCTCAGCACCCACAGAGAGACCAGTGATTTCTAGGTACTTCTGCACCAGGAATTAAACATATTGGTTATAGCAGGCATAGGCAAACTCGGCCCTCCAGATGTTTTGAGACTACAATTCCCTTCATCCCTGACCACTGGTCCTGTTAGCTAGGGATGATGGGAGTTGTAGTCCAAAACATCTGGAGGGCTGAGTTTGACTATGCCTGGGTTATAACGTCAGGCTAGGACAAGGGAGACCTGGGTGCGGATCCCTGCCTAACCACAGAGCCTACCAGGTGGATCTTGGGCCAGTCACTCTTGCCACACCCTCAGCATACATTTAAATCAAATTTTAAAGCACACAGCTTCCTCCAAAACAATCCTGGGGTCTGTAGTTTACCCCTCACAGAGCTACAATTCCCAGCACCCTTAACAAACAGCAGTTCCCAAGGTTCTCTGGGGGACATTGCCTGCTTGAAAATGTTTGAACCTATCTCTCAACCCCAAGTACCAGCAAATGTATGCAAATAATAATAATAATAATAATAATAATAATAATAATAATAATAATAAATGTTGGCCTGTGGGCACATTTGGAATTTCAAGTGGGCACTTTTCTCCCCGCTCCCTCAGATCATTTTCCCACTCCACCCCAAACAGAGAGACGGAAAGAGAGAAAAGACCTGCCTAAAAACTTCACTCTCCCAAGGGATCTGGGTAAAAGTTGGATCCAGTAATCTGAGTTTTGAAAAGCACCTACCACTGATAGAGAAAATGGGAAACAGTGCATTCAAAGCCCTATCATGCCACTTTGAACAGTCACTGCTTCCCCTATATAATCCTGGGAAGTCTAGTTTGTTAAAGGTGCTGAGAGTTGTTAGGAGGCCTCTATTCTCATCACAGAGCTACAGTTCTCAGTGATTTAACAATCAATTCCTCCTCCTGCGGATCTCTAAAAATGCTAAGCATATTTACTACTTTTAGAAAATATAGCCATGACCAGTAGCTCCGAGCAAGCTTCTCTTGGTCAGGAAGCTTTAATTTCATCTTGATTTTGTTTCATTTCATTCAAACTGAAAACGTTTCATTCTTGGATGAGTTGGCTGATGGGCAATGCTAATTTCCACCAAGTGGGTCAGACAAAACCTCAACAGGCCACCTCCTGGTTCATGCCGGGGTCAGGGCATCCCTCCTGCTGAGGCTGCTGCCGTTAACATTATCTTAGCCTTCTAAGTAGAGGGGCTACCAAATCCTCCATCTGGACCCGCTTTTTCTGCTGGGCGAAACAGGAACCATCTCCAGCTAATCCCCTGTAATCCCCTGCCACGTGATATCCTTGCAAAGTGCGTTTGCAAAAACATACTGTCAGAATCATCTGCTGGTGGTGGTCCTGGGAAGTGATGGGAATGGAATGGTGAGAGCGGAAGGCCAGGCAGGGCCACCATGGACTCCCTGCAGCCACACCAGAAAAAGGCAATTCAAAGTAAGTGCACATTTTTCATCTCTGTCTTGGGAGGCAGGAGGTGTGCATGTTTAGCAATCTGCACACTGTAAATGAGGACCAAGGCAGCCCAGTGGACAACACTTTGCCTCCTCTTTCATGGAACAGCAGAACTGATATGCCAGCTTAGCTTGTAACTCACACTGTCCTGGGGCAAACCGCAGTTTCTCTGCCTCGGTCCTCCAATCTGTGAAATGGGAATTGTTAGATGGCCTGCCCTTCTCGCAGAGCTTTTGTCAGAATGGATGAGATGCAGCTACACTCTGCTTCCTAGTAATAGTAGGGCTATAGAAATGGAAGTCCTTGTGTAAGAAATGAACTGAAAACAAAATCCAGTTTTGAAATAAATGAACTGGTTAACAAATTTTTGTTGTTGTACTATGGGGAAAACTGCTACTTTTATCACTAGGGAACTGCAAGCATGCCTCTAAGCATATGCTAAACTAGATGTAAGGTTAAGATTGCCAAGTGACCAAAATAAATAAATAAATGGCATGGACTGCTCCTGTTCCTTTAAAAGTAACCCCGAGGAGGAAAAATCAGCAGAATAAGCTTTTCAGGGCATGGCAATAAATATAACCACCTGCTAATAGCAGTAGATCAGTTTGTTAGAGGCATAAGAACAGGAGTTGGTTAAAAAAAGTTACTAGAGGTAAACAAAAAAACACCCTTGCAGAAGGGGTATAATTGTAGTCTGCCTCTAGGATAGGATAAGATTCCCACCTATTTTTTGTTACTGGTTTATGAATTGAAACAGTGTTTATCAAACTGCGGACCAGGGACCGTCAGTGGGCCTGGGCCTCAGCACTGGAGCCTGTCCAGTGGTTTGTCACTCAGCCACCCTGCCCCAAATTACACCAGCAGCAGGAGCTCCCCACATGTGTAGTAGGAGTGGGAACTGGGTGTTGTACACACTGTACCTTTAAACAAAGCCAGCCCCAGACATTTTGGCACCTGAGGTGGACCCCAAAATGGCACAGTGTCCTCCACTGTACAGTACCTGAAATCAGCAGGCTGGCCTAGGGGGTGCTGAGCCAGCTGTGGAGCAGCCAAAACTCTGTCCCCTCCAGCACCTCATTGCCAGAGTCCACAGACACCAGCATGTGGTGGAGTCTCCTTCTTTGGAGGTCTTTAAGCAGAGGCTTGACAACCATATGTCAGGAGTGCTCTGATGGTGTTTCCTGCTTGGCAGGGGGTTGGACTCGATGGCCCTTGTGGTCTATTCCAACTCTATGATTCTATCTGCCACCTGAGGCAGCTGCCTTGCTCTGCCTAAATGATAGGGCCGGCCCAGCCCTAGTTTCCAATACTGCTCATGCAACCAGTCCAAAATCATGAATGAGAGCAAGATTTAATTAGATAAAGCAGCACTGTTCCCGAGTTCTTGGGTTGCATTTATCACAACAGTACAGAAGTGCACCTGCAGTTAGGATGGACACAACTTACCTGTTCATATGCTCTTCCTATGTAAACACGGGGGATCAGTAGCTCAGCGCCACTTGGACAGATATACCTTCAGAACCTGCAAAAGGCAGAGCAAGCAACAGGTATCCATTTGTGAAGGTGGGTCACTCCCTGCCGACCTGCTGATTGAGCATTCATCCTGATTTTGCTTGCACAGAGGTTGCAGGGAGAATAGACAATGCTGGCCACTTATTTAGCATTTGTTTCGACTTGTTCACAATGTGACATCAAGCAAATGTTACCCCACACTTCCCAGTGCATTTACTCGTCTCTTTTCTGGTCACGAAAAGCTCCAAATGGAAGTTGGGGGTGGGTAGGGAGAGCAGGTTTATCGCACAAGAGCACCAAAGCAACTCTAATTGCACTACCTGAATTTGCTGGTGTGAGACTGAATCCCACCAGAAAACAGTGATGGCCTGGAAGTGCCCACAGACAATAAATATGAACAAACTTTTCCCCTTCTCTTGTTCCCTTTATTTCTACCTCTGAAATTCCAAATTAGCTATAAAAATATGCATTGATGTTATTTTCATTTCCTATGGGCTTTTATTTTACTTTTTTACTTTAAAAAACCACTTTAAATAACAAATAATTTGAGAAAGGGGTGAGATATTAGTGGGCAGCAGTGCTTCTCCCCCCCTAAAAAATGTTTAGGGGTACTCTCATTTTCCTACTCATATTGAAATACTGCCCCTCAGTGAGGCCAAACTTAGATTCACAAAATGTTTAGGGGTATGCGTATCCCTGCGCCCCCCCCAAAAAGCACTGGCAGGCAGAATGTGCCGAAGCATACTTAGGGATTGGCGAAACTGCCCCCCCCGCAGGGCGCAAGCCCAGGGGAGAGCCACAAAAATCACCTCTCAGGCATTGGAGTCTTCCCGACACCTGCAGTGACCTTGCCAGCACCTGCTTTGCCTGAATAGGGAATCTGCCAGGATTTCCAGCTGCTGCTGCTGCTGATGATGATGATGGAAAGGGGTCTTTGGAGCATCTTCCAGGCAGAGAGCAGCATGGGTGTCCCCATCTAGCCCCAAGGAGGCTCGTTCCTCCTGTTCAGACAACCTTGCCTGTTTCTCAGATTCTTTTTGGGGGGCAGGAGTTTCTCCAGTACAGCTCCTTGCCAAGGGTACAAGGGACCCTAGGCATGCCTCCGGGAATATGTGATTCCAGGAATTGTCACAGATCCCCCCCGGTACCTAGACTTACCTATGTATTCCTGTGAAACCAACAAACAAATAAAATCCTTCACTCTTGTGCCAGGTTCTGTTCCCCATCCCGTGGCTGGATTGAGAGGAGAAGGATGAAGGAAGAGACCAGCATTCCATGGAGAGGGGAGGGTTTTGAGGATCAATGTACCTACATTGTGAAGGACCAGCTGTACGAACCACACGCCAACCTTCCGCGAGCACAAGCCTCTTTGCCCCGGAACCTGGCCTTCGAGCGCAACAGCAACAATGAGGTAATGCCAGTGGCCAGCCCAGCAGGGCGGACCTTCCATTGTATGGTCTCCCGGACTGATTTGCACCCCTTCCTCTGTCCGCACACCCCAAGTGACACGGGATGGGGACGGAATTCGATTCAGTTCACAAACCTACCTAATTCCAAAACAATCTGCAAACTGAAATGCAGCCATCCTTTGCAATGCACACTTTTTCAAACTGTGCAAGGGCAGTTCTCCTGCCAAATAATGTATGCAAAAATGCAAATACCAGAGTAGGGGTTCCCAAACTGTGTTCTATGGACCACTGCTTCATTTGTATTTGTAAAAATACAATGAGAAATCATGCAGCACCCCTACAATTGCTACAACAGGCAGAAAGATCATTAAGTGGCCTGCCTAGACCCTCAGGGATTTTCAGGTTGCCTGTGGGGTAGGGGAGAGAGAAGTATAGGAACCAGTGTACAAAGTTAAAATGCTGATTAGTGAAAACGGCATCCAAAAACACATCATATTAAGGGAGCTTGTTTTGCAAAAATGTGTGTATTGTGCAAAATTGCATATAAAATGCATAATAGGGGAAACTCGCACAAAAATTGCTGATCAATTTTCACAATAACATTATATATATATATATATATATATATCCAAATATATATACACACACACACACACCGCAAACTGATGTGGAAATTTGGAGAACTGAACTTATACAAATGAGCAACTGAGAGAAATCATAACTGACATATTCACCCATCCTTGCAAGAGACAAAGCAATCCCTCATCATTCTCTTCCAGCTACATCCCGGCCTCCCTCCCACCCACCTGGCCAGCTTCGGTCTGACCATCCTCTATGACCTGGTCTGCACCACTGCCAGCCTCTACCATTTCCCCAGCCCCAGCCCTGAATGGGTACAGACTGTGGCAGGTCTTCGCAGGACTGGCAGAAGAACCGTGTCTGAAAATCCCTTCGCCTAGGTTTCCGAATCTTTAGCAGATGCTCCTTGCACAGTTGTCATCTTTTTCTGACTATGACTGCTGGAAAGGAAAGAGGGCTCCAGGCGTTGTGGAATTGACTGTAGGCATATGAGATGCAGAGTTAACAGCTTCTCTGCACACCCAGCTTCCTCTCGCCAAAGTATGTGAGAGGGAAGGGTGGTGTAGTATTTAAGGAGGGGTCACAAGTGGGTTCCTCACCCGCAGCTTGAGCCCAGCTTTGCATGCTAGCAGCATATCAGGCAGTGTGAGTCTCACTTCAGTCTGCATACTCCAGGCAAGCTACTCCTTTGGGAGAGCCAGAGCTCAGTAGCAGAGCAAGTGTGTTGCATGCAGAAGGTCCTAGGTCCAATCCCTGACATCTCCTGGTCGGCTGGCATCCGCCTCTCTCAGGAGACAATGGAGGAATACGCCTTTGGGGGTGAAGTCAAACAGGAGTTACAGTGGCTGTAAAGACTGATATGGGAGAGACATGCTTTTTTGCAGCTGGGGCAGATGAAGGCGTTCAGTTGTGCTGATGCAGGTGCACCATTGTGTTTCTTCTTTCTGTGCTCCTCCCTGTCTGAAGCCCTGGAGAGCTGCTGCCAGTCAGTGTAGACAACACCAAGTTAGATGGACAAATGGTCTATGTATAAGGTGCCTTTTGTGATGGCCTGGGACTCAGGCTTGGACTCGGAACCAGAGGAGACTCAGTCTGTACCGGATCCTTTGCCTCAGGCATCATCTGAACCAAGTCTGGGGCCTGATCCTGAAGAGTCCCTGTCTGCACAGGTTCCCCTGCAACAAACACCAGCTGGGCAGAGTCAGGGGCCTGAGCCTGCCCTGGCTCCAGATGTGGGGATTACCTTGTTGCCTTCAGCTGGGCCATCACTTACAGCTGCTCCACTACCAGTTTGGTCAGGGGAGGCTGAGGCGGCCCCTGAGTCTAGTAACCCACCGAAGTCTCCCAAGCTGCAGAGACTAAGGTCTGAGAGAAGGAGAGACCTGAGTACTCACAGGAGGAGTGCTCGCCTTCAGGCAAAACACAGAGGTGAGTTACCGGGGGATCAAGGCCAGCCACTACCCCGACAAAGATAAAAGGCTGTCGGACCTCGCCCCAGGTTGTGGGAGCAACATTGCTGTATGCTAGATTCTGCCTGAGATCCTGTACCTGTCCTTGCCTGGTTTCCTGGCTCGTGTCCTGCCTTGGCCCTGTCGGACTGACTCCCAGCAGAACCTTTGGATTCTGGACCGGTCCTGGACCGCGTTTCATGGGTTACCCCCAGGCCCAGCACACCTTTTTCTTTCTTTCATATTACCACACTTTTCCATTTACACCAGGGGTGCACAACTTACCTGTTAATCACCTGACATTGCAATGATCTTGGGTGACCCATTTTCCCCTGCCCATGTGGTTTGAAATCCAACCACACAGGCCAAGACACAGCACAGCTTGTCATTGGTGCTTGCAATACCCTATATTCTTGCAAGCACTGGTAATTATGAAGGTGATGATTTTACTGCTATGCTTTCAAATGCACTGGGGGTTTTTTTGCAAGCACTATCAGATTTATATGCCTGTGTTTTCCTCCTCATTAGAAGGAGCTTCAAACAGTTTTTAAATGGTTGCAAAGGTGTTCTGGGGATTGGGGGAGAGGTGTGTTGGTGACAACACAGGACACTGGCCAACTGGCCTCCTCCAAAGCCTGCTTTTCCTGATCCATGCATGCCAACAATTTGTCAAATGGGGTTTTCATAAATCACCCCCCACAATTCCCTACTGTATTTGTGGATACAGTAGACTGCTTCTTTTTACTGAAGGCTCAGATATTACACCTGTCTTGATCCTGAATTCAGGTGCCCAGCCAGGAAGGCATGGAAATCTTTCTCAGGATTTTGTCTTGCCTTCCCTGCATACTTGCTGCTCTTTGTGATGCTGCGGTTTGCTGATTTAAAAAAAAAAACACCCTCACAAGAGCAGCCTTGGCCAACCAGCACATGCTGTCTAGAGCTGATGGGAGTTGTAGTCCAAAATATTTAGAGGGCACCCTGTCAGCGAAGGCTGGGCAAAAGGAAACATGGAGCCCTCCCTGTCCCCACCCCTGCCAAGGCTGCAATGCAGAGGCGTGTGTTTTCCCGCCTGTGATTCTTAAAACCGACCAACCCCAACCGCATTGTCTCCAAACACAGAGAAAAGGCATTTGGCTATGTTCACAACCTTAAGAAGCCACTAGGGGGAAGCAGAAGCTGGAGAAAAAAAGAGGGCAGGTTTTATATTGGTTAAGCAATCTATACATAGGGTAATACATGGATTTTTAGAATCCATACAGGGTGCAAATTTCTTTTTTGAAGTGGCTTAACTGGCAGTCCCTCTTCCCAGGGAATCGTAGCTCTGGGAAGGAATAGGAGTTTTCTCACATCTCTAAGCACCTTTAAGAGACTACAATTCCCAAGAGGTTGTTTTTTTTGAGAAGCCATTACTGTTAAAAGTTGTACGGTACTGCTTTAAATGTACAGTGCAGATGGGACCTATAGCATAGATGTGCTGTGGAAAGGAAGTGGGATTAGAAGTAGGTATGCACAACAAAACCCTACATTGTAATGAGTCGGCTTATTGTCAACGCTGACTGGCAGTGGCTCTCTGT